TCGTTAATGGTTATGAAAATTCAATTATAACCCAGCCGCACGATGATGGTCCACTTCGGTCTCCGCGCGAGGAGGGCCTTCTTCATCTTTTTAATTTCGCACTCCGCTCAAGGCAGCGATGGCGGCGTCAGCGGCAGCGGCACATAAAACACGTGGCAAGATTAATTGTGGCCGGCTGTCGTACATTACAATGCGTATACGCCGTGTCGTACATGTGTAAATAAGCACAATGTTGCGGCCGATTGCTGGACTGTGCTCCTGTGCGGCTGCTTTTTTGGTCATCATATTTAATTCAAGCATAAATTTTTGCACGCATATAAAAAAGGACGCGGACCGGGAGGAAGTAAAGAGAATTAATACGTTTCGGTTAATTTATGTAGCTGTTGTTGGGGCATGGGGGACGTGTGGCACGGCGCAGAGATGGCAAGCGAGACGGAGGGGTCCGTGAAAAATAACCCAAGCTGGACGCTAACCAATGAGCCACAAACGACCGTGACTACCTCAGTGGCAGCTTTTCTGATGGTGATGATAATGATGATGACGAAGGGAACCAAGGGGGAGCGGCGACGAGAGTGGGGCGGCGGCAACAGCTTTTGTCTCATCACCCTTTGGCTTGGCCGACAGCCTCTCCTGGCGCCATTTGGCAGCCTTTTATTATTGCAGTGTTCGGGGTAATTACGAACGGCTTGGGAGTGCGGGACTTGAATAGTGCAACCCCCCTGCCAGGCTTTGTTGTGCCCATGGCCTAGCTGCCGTTTTAATTTGTCATCGTTTTCCCCACAGGTCAGCGGTTGTTGTGCTAATTAGCGGGGCAACTCCACATTAACATAAAACGAGTAGGACATGCAGAAGCAGTCTACTTCTTATATTTCGAATACAAAATTTGGAGGCCCATACGATAAGGACAACGGGGTATTTATTTCGATTAAAACTCATTAAGTCTTTTCGCCCATTTTCTGGATGGCTGAATATCTTGAACGATTCGTGTATCGATTCTCCACCATTCTGCATCAAAATCTATCCATGCAATATTTTTTAGATTTTTTGTCATTTTCTGGGTGGAGCCCTTGAGGATTCCATGATAGCCCCTATATGGGATACTGCGATGGCTGTATCTTTGCCAATAGGCATCCGATTCTACAGCGGAATAGCTTGAACGATTCGTGGATCGATTCTACACCATTCTGCATCAAAATCTAGCCACGCAATATTTTTTAGATTTTTTGTCCATTTTCTGGGTGGAGCCCTTGAGGATTCCATGATAGCCCCTATATGGGGTACTGCCATGGCTGTATCTGTGCCAATAGGCATTCAAGAGCAGAATTCCTTTCGGACTTCCTAAAATTATTTTATATAGATTCCCTATCACAATTGAGTTTTTAGTCTTTCAGTATTTCAGTTTGAATGAACTTTTAACTATCATAAACAGCAATGCTGAGTCGAAATAGATTTTCAATGAGAAATCAAACACATACCTTTTCTAAAAATGTCGCACACTGAGCGAAATTATTTGAAACTACCACTCAATACCACACGCAGAGAAAGATTGATTGGGTTCCCACCCTTCAAAAGCTTACAGGTTGGAATATCGTTTTGAGAAGGATATAATTTTCGGCAAAGTGCTGGAGTGGCTCTTGCACTTCAGCCAGTGACAGGAATTGTGAAATATTTGATTTGTGCTTATTTAATTTGGGCAAATATTCCTCATTTATGCATTTGCCAAAGGCGGCTCGAGGTGAAAACCACACACTGCAGCTCCACACACACGGCACTTGGGTCGCTCTCAGGAACAAGGTGGCCTGGCCCGGGGCGAGCTTCCGCCTCCTTTTACTCCTTTCGGGCCAGGAATGCGATGTGCAGATTTCGATTTGCGACTCGAGTACTGTCGGGCCACACTTGGACGTCTCGTTGACTGGGACTGATGAATTGAGCCAACGGGCTGTGGGAACGGGGGGGGGCAGGGCAGTGGCGTTGCAAGAGGCACATCATGGCAGCATCATCATGTTCAATTAGTGAGTCGGACTGGCACTTTGTTCATATAAAATGCCTGCGAGTCTAATTAATTACTACACGATGCCACTATCAGATGCATTTGAGCCAAGCCCCGATTGAGTCAGAGGTGAATCCGTGGTCTGTCATCTGCCTAACCTTTGGCAGCATATCAGCTTTGGGGCGTGCTACATTATGAGCCCGAATCCTGTGATATATACATTTGTGGGACCATATATGGCCTTAAATCAAGCCCGAAGCACAGGGGAAAATTACAGTCTTAAAAAGATAGATTATGCTGACAAATTATGAACTAACGAAGATCTTAATGTTGTTCAGATATTAAACATAAGATCTGCCAAGTCCTAAAACTGCGCCGCGTTTCTCCAAGTGCAGGAGACTAAGCGCATCAAAACAGCATTTTGGTTGGCGGCAGCATAATGGCGATTGCATTTCACCGAATGGCAGCACATGGGGAGGGGAATCCAGCCAGAAATTAAGCTAAGTTGCGGGGAAAAGTATACAGTATATGTATACAATATACCAATGTTGCAGCCCATTTGCATATTGAATTACATTCATTGTTGATGTTGGCGTGTGTTGGCCCCCACGTGCCACAACTGTCATGTCGTGTGTGGCTGAGTTTCAGACAGCCAGGACGAGATAAAAGAGTTGTCATTGTCCTACTAGCAAGCCGCTTACTTATTTATTTTGAAAAGTATGTTCTCCGTTCTCGCGTTTTTTCGCTTTTGACTGACGCTGACAATGCTGGCAATTGGCATGGCAAATTATATAAAAAATTCAACAAAAGGAGCCCAAATTTGGCGGGTCTTCTAGAGCCGTTTTTGTTGGCCCGCAAAATGTATAAATAATTTGCAATGTTGCTCTTCTGCGAAATATCGCCTTTCAATGTGGCATGCAAATAGATTGAATAAAAGTGCACTTTATTGTTGGGGATGTATGGTCCTTTTGTGAGAAGTTTTTCCACGATTCCAGGTTGAGGGAACGAAGTGAGCGAGCACATCAACGGGCAATTAGGAAATGATTTAAGATTTAACTGCAATCTTATTGAAACTTTACATTTCCGCTCCTCAAATGTCTCAGTTCTCAGTGCCTCGTCAACCATAACGACCGAGTCTGGGCTCATGTCCGACGGGCGGCCAAAATCAGTTGTCCAAATCGGATTACAAGGATTTAATTTAAAAGTTTGCAACACTTGGCTGAGTGAAAGAGTCGAGGGAGATGGGCAATTAGAGCTCATGCAGCAAATGAAATTTTTTAACTCAATATAGAGACTCAATCTGGTGCTGAGGGAGTTGCACTCCGGCAGGCACACTTTCAAAAATCGTGTTAGGAAGGAAGGACATTCCAAATATTTTGAAAAATCATTAGAAAAAATTGAGGAAAAGAAATAAGGAATGTTGGCCTAGATCCTAAAATATAGGAGTGCTATCAGAAGTTCTAAGGATAGAGCTCGTTAATTAGAAGCTTCCACGCTTGCCAGACACTCTTCCAGGTGCCTTCAAAAGTTTTGCAACACCCTCGTAGAGGAATGCAAGTTTTTCGGTTTGTGTTGCCCCAAACTTTGACTGGCAGGCAAAGTCGATTTTGGTATAGAACTTAAAGCATACACTGCCAGAAATAGGGCACTGTTTAAAAAGCCTTAATTATACTGGTTTCTAACTGGTTTAAGACTTCTTTTTTCAGTGCACTGCTGTCCTCGAATTGCCCCGCAGAGGTTCTTTCAATTAGGGCCAGGAGTGGAGCACTTAAGCCGGCGTGGAAGAAGGGGCAGGTGCAATCCTTTCCATGAAGGAAGTGGCAGTTGGAGGCTGCATTTGGCCAGCCACCGTCATTAGCCATCTCCAGGTGCTAACTGCAGGGCCTGGAACTGGGGTTTCTGTTGAAAAACGCTTGAATCGGACGGAAACATATGCTGCCATGGCCATAGGGGGCGAGAAAAAGCTCCCGACAGGTGGGCAGTTGCGAATAAAAAACGTAATCTCCACGCACGTAATTCAAATGTGGCGGCTGGGCGGGTCTCTGTTGCGTCTCATTTAGCGCACGTAACCAAATAATGACCCAAAATGATGCCCGCTTACGGCCAGAGTCCGGTGGCGGGGTAAAAAGTAAAATGCGTGCGTATTGTAAATAAAATAAAGTAAAGCATAACGTAACGAACCGAAATGTTTTATCAACGTGCCGCTCCGCACTAAACAGTCGCCACACTGGGAACAAATGCCAGCCTCTTTCCCAAGGCCAGACGCTTGGAGGAATCAAATGAAAAATACCGATTTTCCGCCGTGTAGTGGCTGGCCTCTCCCTCCCTGAGTGGAGACCTCAACCACTGACAGATGGCCGCTGACCAAAGTAGAGGCTGTGGTGCCACCCTATCCTGCCACCCGGACTCCCCCGGGCCGCTTGCTGATTATCGCTTCCCGTTCATGTGATATTTGTGCTGTAATTGTTTTGCTTTGTCGTAAATGGAGACCGGAAGATAGATTGCACGGCCACGGGCCATTACGGCCAGGATAAAGAGGCCAGGAGCGGGGCCTGGGCGGGGCGGGGTGGGCGCACAAATTTCTTGTCATTAAATTAAAAATAAACGACAATATTTTATGCGCCTATAAATATGCAGCAGCAGACACAGCGCTTGTCTCGCAAGTGGAGCGACGTGGAGCCGGAGCAGCTGCTGTTATTTATTTATGTGGCTCCTTGTAGTTACGCTTTTAATGTCTTCTTTATGCAGGCCTCTTACTTAGATTCCGATGGCTCCATACATAGGTGGTTCAGGTGTCCGTGTCCGGACTTAAGGAGGGATAACTCGGCCGGGGGGGATTTATACTTTCCGGAGGCAAGGTGCTCGTATATTACGATTACCAGCACGCTCCCACAATTGACATTCTGCAGTTGCATCAATTGCAGTGTTTGTTGTGGGATGATTCATGGGCCGTTTCCTAAGCCTCCAATAAATTCTCCGCTCCTGTAAGACAGTTTCGAACTGCAGCAGAGGTCTTTTGAAATGAGTTTTAATTGTAAGTCTCAGGGGTTTTTACAATTTATCCTTAAGTCTACTCCGTTGTCGGCCGCCTCCTGGGCGAGCAGCTGAAACGGCTTCTCCTCCGGCTCTAGTTCGCCCTGCAGCTCCGGCGCCTCGTTCCACGGCTGGGTCACAGCTGTGCCCCAAACCATGAAGATCACGTTGCCGGCAAAGAGCACCCCGGCCACCAGGCAGAAGACCACCTGCCACTGGCCCCGCTCCCCGGCATCGGTCACCAGCACGCCGACCACCAGGGGCGTCAGCAGAGCCACCACGTTGGTGAAGCTGGTGATGATCCCCGCCAGGATCCCGGCGTAGTTCGGCGACAAGTCCATGGTGTTCAGCTCGGTGCCGATGGTGGCGGCGCTGCTCACGCCCACGCTAAGCGTTATCAGCAGCAGGACCACGTTCTGGTGTCCCTCGCCCACGAAGCCGAGGGCCAGCATTATGGAAGCCGGCGCCCACAGCGCTATGGTCGTGTAGGTCTTCCTCAGAGCCGTCAGCCCGAGCCACTTCTTCTGCAGCAGCACATCCGCAATGACCAAGTAAACGTAGCACATGCCCCACATCAGGAGGAAGGGCAGGGAGGAGAAGAGCGCATTGCTCTTCATGTCCAGCCGGAGGACGCCGCTCAAGTACGCCGGCAGCTCCTGCTGCATGGTGGACAGGCCCCAGGTGTCTGCACACCGGGCACATAGTAGGGCGTACACGGGAGCCGACGTGAAGATTCCCTTCCAGGGTATCCGCAACTTCTTGGATCGCGACTCCTTTCTCTCCAACCGCTGCAGATCGCCGAGGATGTAGCACTTCTCCGCCTCGGTTATGAACCGGGCCTCGGTCACTTTGCTGGCTCCTAGGAGCAGCCAGAGCACGCACCAGACCAGACCCAGGGCGGCCGCCGAGTAGCTGATTCCCGGCCAGCCGAGGGACGAGCTGGCTATCATACCAGCCGCGTACATGGCCAGCACGTTGCCGCAGTCGAACCCGGTGTAGGCGAAGGCGCCCAGGCGTGTCCGCTCCGCTTCGGGACACCAGTTGGCCAGGTGCTGGTGGATGCACGGCCAGGTGACCTGGCACACGCCCTGCAACAGCCGGATAGCGCAGAACGCCTGCCAGCCGGCGGCGTAGACTCCGTGAGGCGTCAGGGCGCTGAGCAGCGACGAGCCCAAAGTGCCCCAGAAGAGGACTGCCTTGGAGCCGAACCGCTTGCACAAGTAGCCGGCGGGGAACTGGGCCAGCGCAGAGCCCCAGTAGAAGCTAGACAGGATGTAGGACTTCTCCACCTCGCTCCAGTTGTATTTCTGAAATGGGAGTAAAGGGAGCAGTGAGACGTGGTTGTGGGGCACTCTTTCGCTTACCCACGGGGATGTCGCCCTCGCCATCGACGGACGTGGTGGTGTTAGTCATGGCCACCACTGCCACGCCCACGTTCAGCTGCAGGATTGTGTTGGCGCAAAGTCCGATGAACAGCAGAACCGCCTGCACGTGGCGCAGCCCCAAGCGAGGCACTCCTGGAGGAAAGATGAAGTGGATGACATTGCGGGTGAAGATCGCAGGGGCTTACCTTTTGTTGAGTCTTCGATGGCCTCCATACTGCCGCTCGGGCTTCTAAACAATGGGGGGCTTGGTTGCTTCAAAGGCGCCACTAAAATGAAGTTAGTTTTAGATTTTAGGCCACTAATGGAAGTACTAACTAATGGTAGTAGTACTAATCCAAAACTAGTACTCCCAAAATAGACGAAACAGTCACAAGAATAGAATCTTTTATCGCAAAAATGGGGATCTGAGTCCCAACCCTCCAAGTTCGTGGAACGATAGGCCCCAATTCTTTTTGGAATTTCAAGCGGAACCTTTGGAAACACCAGCTCAGCTCTATTGCGACTTTTAGTCATAAATGTTGAACAAAATGGCGTTGAATTCCCGAGAAGTATAATCCGATTGATGAGAAGGGCCGGCAGCCGGGCAGTTCGATTTTGTTTACTCGGCAAGTCAGCTTCCAGCAGGGAGGCAGGGAGGGAGGACTGGGAGGACTGGCAGGTGCCGGTTTCGATGCCTCTGCACTTTTCCAGAGTATCGGAGTATACAGACCCCTCTCCAGACGAGCGTAGCTTCCATGAAAACCTTTTATTTATTTATTTTTTTATGTTTTTTTGCAAACTTTGGCCATCAGCCTGAGCTGAGCTCGGGTTCTGTTCTGGGTTAGGGTAGAGTTCCCTCCAAGTGTCGCTGGGATAGGGGCAGCGTGGGAAAATAATTGAGAAGAATTCACAATTTTATCAGAGCGGCTAACTAGACACTATTCAGTGCCACCCAGACGCCCTCCCACACACTCTTCAATTGTTCTAATGGCCTAATAGATGGCGGCGTGTGGACGGCTGCCAATCGCCGAGCGGCTGGGAGGTGGGTGGTGGGTGGCGTGAGGTGGAAGGCGACTGTGGCGCTGTCCACCAAGAGCCCCAAAAACGCAACCGGAAAGTGTTTCGACGCGAACCTTCCCCTTCCTGTGCTTCTGGTTATGCTTTTTAAGTCCCGGCCTTAGCCAAAGGTGCAGATAAGGTATCTATTGGAATCCTCCTACCACACACTGTGTTGGAATGTGGTATCCCAAAGATACAGGCGTTGAAATAATTATATTTGAAAGAAAAATATATTTAAATGTCTTTGGTTTATGTGGCTATATACACCGGTATATAAGCTAAGACGCCGCATGGCGAAAATTCGAAAATAATCTTGACCTGCTTACCACTTCAGATATGTCTGTCGGATGTACGAACACATGCAGACAACTTTATTATCAGAGCCCCTGTGCGGCGATAAAAAATGTGTAAAAATAAATTTCCATTTGGATTTAATTATGTGCTCTATTGTATAGAATGTCTTGAATTGCGTAACACCCTGTCTTTTTGGCCAGCGAGTTACATGGGGGGGCGGGGGGTAGACTGGCAGAGGCGGAGGTCACCTGGAAGCGGTTGAAGTTCAGTGAACCGTAAATCCACGACGAGCACATGTGGATGGGCCCTCCACGGCAAGAACGCGATACTCCCAGCGAACCAATGGGCACGGGGCCCAAGAACGCGGTTCGATCGGTGCGTGCGGGGCGTCCTTGTGTGTGTATTTTGATTTCGGCCGCCAGGGTGGGTGTGTGTCATATCATATCTTCTAGGTGCATTGTTGGAATAGTTGCATTCGCGAATTTTTGTTGCATTTTAGTGCAGATTTTGCAAATTACTTCATTCCACCCACCCCCTCGCCCCGGGTCCTGCCGACCTTAACCCCGCAGCCGCTGCCCGAATTTCGGGTCGAGGAATTTTGCAGTCCCGCCGCGTATCTCACAGATACTTGTCGCTCGAATGAGATTCGAAGGGAATGCCTGGCATGCCGACCCGACCACTTTGTTGCGCCGCCCACCGACACCCGCGTTACATATCTCACTTGACCGAACCTTTTTGCTCGATGTGTGCACTTTGGCTTTCTATTAATATCTGATTTTAATCAAGTCTTTTGTTTTGATTGCCGTTCGACCCGTTTTCGCTGCCTCGTGCGTCCGCGTCCGCGACTCTCTTCGGTCTTTGTTTTCTAGTTCTGCGGCCGTTCCACCGTTTTCATCCGCCGTATTTGCGGATCGTTTTCCGAATGCGAGTCGCTTGTAATTGCTCGGAAATCGCAAAAGCTGAGCGCGGCGGTGGGGCTGTCGGCCGTGAATCACTACCGATCGGAGGGGAAGGTGACGTCATAGTAGTTAGGCAGTTAAAGTGGGCAGTAAATTAGGGCAGGAACCTACAGATTTAAAACTTTATAGATCAAAGAAATATCAAAGAAATTCAAAATTTCCATATTTATTTGACTAATATTACTACTACGATTATATGAAATTGTTTTTTTTTTTTTAAATAGTTTTTGAAACTTCAATCTTTTTATTCAAACCTGAAATTCACCACGACTGTTGGTTAACAGCGCCTGCTTACAGACCGCTTACAGACCGATCATACTCATAGAAAATACCAAAAAAAAAATCGATAGGCCTCAAACGTTGCCAGATAGAATGGAATAAATTAGGTATATTTTGTGCCACAACACTTGGTCACACTAATCCAATCAGAGAGCGCGATCCGATCGTCCAATTTATCGTCCAACGAAAACAATTTGTTTTGCGCCCGAAAGCTTGTTCGGCGCATTTTCAGCCTGACGGTGAGCCAATAGCTCAATTGCTGCGACAGTTGCGTGGATTTGTCAGTTCCGACGATCAGAATCAGAATCAGCCGGATGTGTGTCGGTCAGTCGGTCGGCTAACGGTCAGTGTTTAATTAACGAAGTACAGTGCGTGTCTCCCTGCCGGCCTGCAGCAGCTGCACCAGCAACAGGCGGTAATAGAATAATAAAGTGCTCGAGTGAAAAAGTTTAGTGCGATTCAACCGCCCAAAAAGCCAGCCAACGGACGCTCAATTGACGGCGCTTGACGGCGAAGAAGCGGCAAAGAGGACGGGGCGGGGCGAAGTGCCGGCAACTCACCGCTCTGCGAGTTTTGTGGGAAAAAAAACAACGAACGACAACGAGTCGAATTTGTGTTTCACGTCACCCGAGCCCGAGCCTTCCGTTCTCCCAGTTTCGATCTAACATTTGGATACAATTCTTTTTGTGCTTCGTTTCGGTCTCGTCCCGTTAGTTTTTAGCTTTTTTTTCGTGTCCTTCTTTGTACTTTCTGCGCGATCCCCGCTCGCCCTCCCCGTGTTTTTGTGTCCCTTTGTGCCCAGTGGTGGGTTGCGTTCGGTGCCGTGGTACCTGGTGGAATCCTCAAGAAACCTCAACCCATCGAGAAGGAACATCCTCTGCCGGTTCGTCAAAACAATCCCCTCGCGCATCCGTATCTGTATCTGTATCTGTGTATCTGTGTGTGTTTGTGTGAAGGAACGCGCCTTTAAAATCCAACGAATCCTCATCCAAAGACGCATTTTCCTCTAAATTTTTAATTTTTTTTTTCATTAAAATTAGACATTTTGTTTTTAGGGATCACGTTTCTCTGCCGCGCCCCGCGCCCACTGTCTGGCGTCTTTCCCTCGAACGTGTCTAAATTGTCTAAAAGTGAATGAAACATCCGAAACGGACTTCAAGTTTTACCCAAAAGCACATATTTTAACCCGGTTCGCATCCAGTATCACTCATCCAGAATCAAAATCAAAGAGCAAGTCTCCGTGCCACCCGTTTTGTAAGTCACCTTGTAAGTTTTTCCACCCACTACACACCCCACTGCCTTATTCATATACTCTTCTTTTATTTTATTATTATTTCTACTCTCTCCTACCTAATGCACTCTGCCTGTTTTTCCGCCCACGTAACTGAGCTTCTTCTGTAGAATCTGTAGAATTCAATCATTATCTATCCGCCCTGCTTGCCATCCTTCCAGATACTTGATGGGCCTTCTCCTACTTAAGTAGGCCTAGGAGTACTAGGAGTAGACCTATCTTTTAGGCCTAAAAAGATGATTTTTGGACGACCACTCCCACGGCAATCCAGGTCCAGTGGGACTGACCACTCTGCGGTTTTGGCCACTCACTCGTTCCGAACACCTGACTCTGACTGCCGCCCCGGAGGTTTCCACTTTGTTGACATTTTTGTGCTGACGTTTCGCCTGTGGCTGTGGGTTCGCATGGTCGGTCAGCGAAATATGTGGATGGTGTCTGTTTATACTTTTTGTGGCTTTAGGGTACGCGTTCCATGGTTATTTTGGGATGGAACCAACCTCATAGAGTTCTCTAATAGGAGCCACCCTTCCTAGAATGGTCCAGAACTCACGCCTTGTCGTATTTTTTTCAAGAAATAAAAGTAACTCGGTTATACATGGCTACGTTGGAGTCCCGTGGCAGTGTCGTACAACTAGGCCCGTTATTTAAGAGCCATGGCGGGGGAGGGCGGGGGCAGGAAGTGCAGGTGACGCGACGTCGAGTCGAGTCGAGAGTAATTTGCAAACAAAAAGCCATTAAAATATCAAATTAGCGTCTGGCCCGGGTTCTGAGCGCTGGATTTAGTGGAAGTCTCCAATTGTAGCCGACGCCGAGTCCCCTTCTCAGGGTTCTCCAGGGGCTCTCCTCCACCCGCCAACCCCCATCTCCAAGATCCAACCGCCACCGTAAATTGTGTTTATGTTTTCCCAGCGCAGTGTGCAAAATCGAAAGTAAATTAAGTGCGGCACCCGCATGTGCCGCGTCAGTCATCGATTTGCTGATTAACAGTTGTCAGTCATGGCTCCCCACCCACTCGCCACCCACTCCCCACCCACTCACCTCCCACTCGCGAGATTTTGAGTCTAAACTGGACTGTTTCACTGCCAAGGCTGGGTGCGTGCGCGAAATTAAATTCAAAAAAATAAAAACGAGTTTTACCTGAACTGCACTCGAACTGAGTCACTGGGTTGAAGGAACTCGACGGGGATGAAGCGAGTTCTTGCGAAGAATACGAATACTAGCAGGGCCAGGCCAGAGGAACCTCGCTCGAGAACTGCGCACGGAACTAAGCCCGACTGACGGGGAGCAGCTATCGCGATCAATGGATCGTTCTCGAGCGAGCGACATCCCTCTGCCCCATATTTGGATAACTCGGTCCCCTCCTCTTCACATACCCATACCCATACCCTCCAAAAGGCCTCGCTCCGACTTCACTTACCATCGGCTGCTCGGCTGCTTTACATACCCTTCTCCACTCGTAGTTATTCCCAAACGAGTTTCATAAATTATCAAGTTGAATGCCCAGTTTCGAAACTCAACGGGCCTGACCTTGAGCACAAATTTCGGTGCTTCGGTGATTCGGGCTTTGGTTTTGGGCTTCGGGCTCCGCTCTCATGTGTGATTGTATCTCCAAACATATGGTGGTGGTACCCCTTTCCGGAGAAGGTATGCTGGAGCAGGAGGCGTTTTGCGTCGTCTTGGGGTGCTAATAGTTCCAGAGAAGGTGTTCTTCTGGTTCGAATATTATATAACTCAATGGGACTAGGTACTTCGTATCTGACCTCAGGGCTCTGGAACTCCACGCTCCCAGTCTTTTAATTCTGTGAAGTGGCTGTTGCTGTCGTTGTCGCGATGCCCTTTAACTTGATTGCTTTTCCTTCGAATGTGTTTAGTTCACACTAGTTGGATGGTGGAACTAAGAGCCAAACTTTAAAACAAGTCCGCATTCTGGACTAATTACGACAGTCTTACAAATTAACTAACGCACATGCGTAACTGGAAAGAGCCCGGACTGGGGAATAGGCCCAAACCGCCTCAAAAATGATTAATGGCGCGAGTTCCTCCAACCTCAACCTCTGTTTCTAACAATACGAAGTGCGTGCTGGTAACTGAAACAGGTTCTGACCCTCGGATTCGAGAAAGAGAGTCTGAATGCTTGTGGGAAGGTCGCCCTGATGAGGATTGATGGCCTGAGCCGAAACTCGCGGAGCGCGAACTTGTATTCAGTGCGTATTCAGCGTGATGGTCGCGAGTAAATAAAGATTTAATTGCCTCATTGGCTTTTCGGACGAACTCATGAAACATGAAAGACTAATCAACACGTGGTGCTGGAAAATTTCGATTTTGTGGAAAATATCATCATCAGGGGGGAAAGGGCGCAACCCTTTATTGATATTCGACATAATCGATCCATCAGAATGCTTGGATTACCAATTTCCCTCGCAGGAGCCATGTCAAATACGTCAATTTGTTGGGGCGCGATGCATAATAGATCTTCTGCATGACCCGGCGAGTGGAGGACACATCGGATGGGCTCACGGGGGAGTCCCCCACACCCAATAATCTTCACTGCAAGAAATGGCTCACACTTTAAACGTTCTATAATGATAGGTCTAACTAAGGTTCTCTTAGTGTAGAACAGTATCTTTATCGGGGAGCACGTACACGTCCAACATAGCTTGACAAGTTAATACCCCTAACGATCGCGGTTCTATATCGGGTGGTTGATAAGGAAGCAAGGCAGTGGGGAGGAGGGGGAAGAAGGTGTTGGTCTTTTCAAATAAAACATCAATCATCGCCCGTAATAATCTTCACTGCACTCTACCATCTACACATTAGAATCTACGGAAGAACACACAGCCCTATTGTCTTCTGGTGGCTCTTCTCTGTCGCCCGTCCCTGTCTTCTGCATATTATATTTCCTATTGTTTCCTCTCATCTTTTGTTTGTCTGGTGGCCGCCTCACCTCGCTAGTGTATGTGGGCTATTTTAGAATATTTCCAAAGCATTAAAATAATTTAAAATTCCCTATAAAATATTCTAAGAATAGCTCTCATTTGGAGGCGCCGCGACTGCTCTGGTTGGATGTTGGATGTGTTTTGCGCATCGTCCCCCCAGCTCGACCCAGTCGCGTGCCCCACTTCCGCACTTTTCACCAAACTATAACCTATTCCTCCCGCCTCGCCCTCTTCTACCTCCATCACCTCCACCCACCGCCTGTCTGAGCCTAACCAAGATCGCGCCGTCATACCAACATAAAAGATGTATAAACAACACCCCGTCCGGACATCCTCCAGATATACCCGTTGATATAAACAACCGTCTCATACCGGAATTGTTCTCTTTCGATTTTTGCAGGCGCCCGTCCGCTCCCCTCGCTAGAACAACTACTAGACCGCTAGCACCACTAGAAC